GCTTTGAGAGGAATACTGTAATTACTGTTCATTGTTTTAAGCAGCATTTTTATGCTTAATAACTGATAAATCAGTAGACACAATGATTTCATTAGGAAAAGTAAAGTTTGAGAAGTAAAGATTTTATAAAGTTTCAAAATATCATCTGGATAAAACATTTAGAAGAAAAATCAATACATTTTATAGATGACTTATTGTAAAAATTACTACACAGCCTAAAAGCATAAAGAACTATTTCAAGAAAAGGATAAGTTCACACTTCTCCTCTAATGGATCATCAAGCATCTTTTCGGTGAAACAACAGAATGACTTTCTTTCAATGGCTTAATAATGAGCTCTTCTAGAGCTTTCAAGTCCTGTCTAAAGGTAGCACAAATTGGAACATTATGGGGAAAGAGACACTTCTTTTAGCATTTGGCATACATATATATATATATATATAGAGAGAGAGAGAGAGAGAGAGAGAGAGAGATTCACATTTGCTTGATGTCTTTGGGTTCAATGAACAATGTTTAACTAAAGTTAATGTGGATTATTCAACCCATAAAATTTCATACAGAAACACCCATGTTTATCTAAGAATAGCCATTACTTACACTTTTCTTTAGTATTTCTATTTTGAAAGTTATGTATTTTTTCTCTTTTACCAATTGCCACTAATGTTTCAGTTCTAAAATCAAATACTATTCATCATGATTATGTTTGAAAATGTCTTTAATACTGTTTGTGAAAACCAAATATTTCCTCCTGAATGTTTACTCATAGCTTTTCTCTAAATACAGAGTCTCCTTTTACATAATACAAAATCAATTGATTTGAGAGAGGAAAAAGTCAATCAATCAAACAATACGCCTTATGTTCTCCGAAGTGATTAACTTGTTATTGAATCATGTAAATATATCAGTAGCCTCAGGTCCTCCATTCTCCCCCCTACTGTCACATGTTATTTGCAAAACACTTTGAGCTCCTTTAAAAGTAGTATTGTATAAAACCACAAATTGCTTATTAATAGAACAAATCAATATGATAAATCAAAGACTATTAATATAGAGCAGACTATAGGGAAAACTAAGCTTAATTATTTATTTCCATTTTCATTCCTATTCACCTTTATTAAAGCAGCCTTATTTGTACTGTATGACAACACAGCTACGGTTCATAATGGGATGTTGTTATGCTTGGGTAAGACTATTCATTCCTGTCACTGATTTCAGTGGCTGAGCTTCCGTCAAAAAGAACCCAGTCTTGCATGATACTACATATATCTTGTTGAATGTGTATAATCAATCTTTAAAATTCAGTTTTTGAAGTCTTGAAAAACAAACATTGTGCATATGGTACAACAGCTTGACCTAAACGTTCAGCTGCTTTGTTTCCCCCTACTGTATATACTGTATTTTTAATCTTATCTCAAAAATAGGAGTCTGAAATGGTAACATAAAGAACTTTATAAAAATATTAAGAATTAGAAAACTTCTGAGTAAAAATGGTGAATGAAGCAGGATAACAGATTGTCTCTTAGTGCTTAACACCCTCCCCACTCTCAAAGGGATGAGAGTGGAGAACAAGCCAGCAACACAAGAAAGAAGAACAACCTTATGTCATTTTATGATATAACCTTTTATGGATACATGGAGAGAAAACACAAGATGCTGGTGCAGAGTTTTGTGTTTCTAAATGTGCTCCTGTTGCCTCCCAACCACCCCGACCCCCACCCCAGTCAAAAGAAGAGACAAAAATAATACTAAAAATTCTTAACTATAATCTCAAATTCAGAGAAAAGCAGCTTGAGGAACTGAATAGGAAGCCATTGGGAAAATAAGGAAAAACACTAAAAAGTAAAGCCAAAAAAAAAAAAAAAAAGAAAGAAAGAAAAAGAAACATATGCTAATGGATCTCCAGAGATGCAGAAAAGTTGAAGCTGCATTGCCCTCTACTAGGCACTGGGCTCATTTGGGGTATTAGAGTGCTGAAGTCCTCAGAAGTGTGATGAACACCTGGATGGGTTGAGTGGGTCCTAAAATATGACATATAGGAGAACTTCCAGTGAGTTATTTTCAACCATTTGAAACCATTTGTTTATTATGCCTTTTGTAAGTCCAACTTTTTATTAAATCTTCAATGCTGTTTTTTTGTTCATTTCCTCTGCAATATTGACTTAGTCAATTTTGTATTATTAGATTTCACTTTGTGTTGCTCTCTTACTGAATTTATATTCTCAGTAAATTCTATAACTTGAAGCACTAATGGGAAATATGCTTCTGTTCCTTGGATTTCTCATGTCCCCATACTTATCTGAGTTTTCAACTATGGTTTGAATCCTTCCTTTCTTCCCCATCTTAGTCATTCTCAATGTGAATGTCTTTGTCCAGTTTAAGATTGCTATGTTGTCTAATACCAGGGGATCCCATTTTCACCGTTTCTGTACAAATTCCCCCCTTGGAGTTGGTTTTGGTTTTATTTATTTTGATATAACATGAATCATTCCTCCTGATGGCCATCATAACTTCAAAAACTAGAATTACCTTATTTTCTTTTGTTAAAAGATAGTATTTAAAAGGGTATATAAAATCAGCACATCAAAGATTTTATTTAGCTATTAGTTAGTGAAGGAACTGGTAAGATATTACAATAGTTCAAAAAAATTCAAAGAACAGATACATATATATATATATACATATATATATATAATAAAGAATTCTGAAGTAAATTTATAAATAGAGAAAAATAGATCTACCTCTAGGGTAATAATCAATTGCTTTTCACCAGACACAATTAATACACATTTCTACAATCAGAAATCATTTAAATTATTATTAGTTTTCTGCAACTTACAGAGTTGTAAAATCACTCAAAGACAAAGAAAGGTACAGACAACCTGAATGGGTAAGCTAGATATTAACTTTTTTTCTCATTTCAAAGTCTTTCATAATTTTTCCTGACACCATTCTCTGAACCATGCTTTGAGACCAGGTGTTGCTTTTAATCCACTCTCCTAGAGACTGAGGTAAGGGGAAGAGATAACCTAGGTTTCTTTACATGCTTGCTGAGGTGTTAAAGAAACATTTATTATATCTAAGGTTGAGCAATAACTTTAGTTTCACTCTGATTTCTTTTTTTTTTTTCCTTTTAAGTTGAGGTAAGTTCCAACACAGAGATATTCCAAGCATATTCACAGACCCCTGAGGGATCTCTAAAACCCCTTCAGATGTCCATAAGGTCAAAATCACTGGGTTGACATTTGCACTCATGTTGCAAAAGTCTTAGTGGATAAAACTGCTGGCATCTTAATGTCGAGGCGACATCAAATTGTACTATCAGTCATTTTATTCTTCTCTACTAGGTACTCAATGCAAAAATGCACACTTAAGAATGTCCTTAGCAATAAAATTTATTAATTTTATTAATTCTCAACCCTTGAGTATACAGTTCTTTAATATTCTGTGTACAAAATGGGAAGTATGCATTAAAAAAGTCTGCTACATACTAAAGTATAATAGCTGCCTTGAGGAAAAGCACTTGCACAATCATTTAAGTTGCCAGTTGAACCAGCCACTATGAAAACATGACTTGAAAAACAACTAACAAACAATGTGTGGTTCCTCAGACTTGAGTATTTGGCAGCTATTTTCTCAAAAATTAATGAAATAAGCCTATTACTTCAAGAAAAATAGCTAACAGTGTTTGTTGCCAATCATAGAACTCAAACTTTTGAAGAAAAATGAGAAGTTTGGAAAATCTACATTCTCCATAGTGAACTTGAGAGCTTCCTAACACTTTATGATGATTTCAGTGGTAATATTAATGAATTTGAATTTTTAATATTACATAATAAAATATGTCAATATTTGAAAAATCTGCAAAACTCAGTGAACCAATATTTTTCACATGATCAATGAATCATGTTAGAAATCATGTATGGATAAAATATCCACTCAAAGTGCAAGAAGGATCAATGAGTTTTTAATGTAACAAAGTATGCAAAGATCATTAATGTAGTTTTAGATTCCACGCTGCAACTAAACTGTAAGGAACTACCATTTATCCAGTTTGTGTATATTTGAAAATGCAATTAAAATAGTCCTCCCTTTCCAATTACATTTCTGTATAAAGCTTGCCTTCCTATGCTTCCCTAATAGCAACAATTCACAACAAAAATTGAGTACAGAAGTAGATATGAGAATCTAGCTGTCTCCTAATAGGGTTGACATTAAAGATATTTGCAAAATTATAGAATAATACTGCTCCTCTCAGATGTTTTTTGTTTCAAAACATATAATTACTTTTCACAAAATATATTATTTAGGTTACATGTAATAGGATTTTCAAATGAACCAATTAATAAATATTTGAAAAAATCTCAGTTTTAAAACTATTCAGTAAATCAAAAGATGTATACTATATAAACAAAAGCTCTTTAGAGTTTCTCAATAGATTTTAAGAGTATAAAGGGGCCCTTAGATCTAAGAGTTTGAGAACTCTTGATTTAATATAATTCTCATTTTAAAATACATATACAGTAGGATCCTGCTCTTATAAAAAATGATATTAATAACATTTAACTTGACATGAGTTTAACTTCTGACTCTAAAGAGCTATTGTTTGACGTTCTTAATTATGTTAACCTCAGTTTCCTCATATGTCAAAATGGGATAATGAGAGCAACCAAGTACTATACTAGAACTACCGTGTTAATTAAATAAAGTAATAAATGGGAAGTTCCTGGCACATATTGAATATTCAATAACTTATACTTATTATCATTATTTTTAATCTAATGTATAAATGTTACTTTCTATTTCTCATTTCTCAGCCTGTGGGAAAAAAACGTATTTTTCTAATATGGTACTTATTCCATTGAATAATTACCTAATAACACTCTCACCATCCCATGGAATCCTTACTCTTTGAGGATAAAGATTGTGTTTGCTGAATGAATGATTCTTACTGAATAAAATATAAATCTCCATTAATTACTGGCATATTGTTTGTTCTTAAAGGTGGTGAGAATCATTTTGGAAGACAGTTTCTTCATTTATTTCTTGAGGAAGGAAAGCCCACAGTTAAATATGGATGTGGAAGTTCTCAAACTATCTTGACTCTTTCTGCTAATCACAGCATTAACACAAATGCATTCATCCCTATCACAGTACGGTAAGTACTGTACGCCACAGTAGTTATTTGAACTATAGTGCTGAGCTCTATTTTTTAAATGTTCTTTATATGTGTAATAGCCACCCAAATATGAAAAAAAAATCCATCTGAAAATTTTTTTGCTTTTGTTTACTTTTTTATTTTTTGCTTTTTTTGGATTTGATGGAGTAAAATACAAACTAAGCTATCCTTTAGCAATCAAATTGTACATGCAATAAATCAATTTACTTGAAACTATTATGGTTCAAGCACATAGATTAAAGCTTCAAGTGGTTCTGTTGAAATTAATAGCTAATTTAATTATTCAACAAAATATTTATTGAGTAAAAAGAGTACAGCTGCTAGGAACTGAGGAGGGAGAAAGCCATTGACTCTGCACAGAAAAAGAAAACCTAGTAGAAAAGAAAAATCTATTGAATATCAAATGGAAATGTCTTTCTGGATTATGTAAATTTTTGGAAATCAGTCTTTAAATTATAGTTCATACTTCAGAATTTTAAAATGCCAAGAGAGAGAAATGACTAAATATAATGGTTACATCCCAAGGGCATTACTGAACAACATTTACATGTAGCAGCCAAGGATTTAAAATAATTCATCAGTATAGCAATCTTGTAATAACAGTCTCCAAAGTTACTCTATGTCAGTGAAAAATATCATTTTGTGACTGAGTTTGTGTATACGATGACAATTAGATAAGTTAGTCTGATCAGCAGGAATCTTGGCTAACCTATGAAGGTTATATAAATCACATAAACTTTCTCAGAGACTGCATCAATCTGAAAATAACATCAACAAAAGTGACACCAATCTGAAAATGTAAACTCCTTACAGGCAGGGATGGTATCTTTCTCATTTTTAATGCGCTTAACAGGCATCTGACAAAGAGGAGATACTCAGTAAATGTCTGAATGAAGGAAGAAATGAGGGCGTCTGGGCTGGACAATTCAGTTGATTATAACAAGAAAAATTATTATTCTTAAATTAGGTATACCCTTTTGGAACACACTGAGTTCTACACAAACTATTTCAGAGCAATGGACAACTCATATTTCAACCATCTCCCTTACAAGTGTTTGCCATTGACCATACAAAAGAATCAGATAAGAAATTGAATAACTTAGAAAACTATTTGAAAAGCATTTCTATTGATAAGATCATCATTTTATACAATGTCATAATTTTATACAAACAGTGGTATATTCAATTATGTATGATGTAATTTCTATTCATGGTCACACTTTTCTTGAGGAATAATTTTCTTGTTTATTTTTAAGTTATAATAACCTAATAGGACAGTCCTCAAACCACTCAGATTCTTAGATAGTCTCAAGTTGAAAGCATCCTGTAAAAAAGAAATTGATGCTTCCAATAAAACTGAAAATCAAAGCATTTACTAACATTTTAGAAAGTAAAAAGGAGATATCTTTACTGATGTAAAAGTGCAAATCTGCTTTCTCTTATAGGCAATATCCTATGAGAGTTCAAGGTGACAACAGGTTGACCCTAGGACTACATTATATATTACATATCATATATCATTAATTAAAAAATTTTGAGTGCCCATCTGCAAAGGACTCTTTCAATGTGTCTTAATTTTTGCTTCTCCTTTTTCTTTGTATTTCTTTCATTTTTATTCTATGTTTAATTTCATTTATTCATGTAATAAATGATTCTTATTATATTTCTAGCACTATACCAAGCTCCTAGAATTCAATAGTAAGCCAAAAAAGATAAAATCATAACTCGCATGTGTATACAGTTTAGTGAGGCAGATTGACAAATAGTCACACTAATGAGAGAATAATTAAAATTTGAGATGTGTTGTAAATGAAAGAAACACAATGCAAGAAGAACAAGTCACAAAGTATTATTTTCTATGCTAGAGAGACCAAGGAAGTTGTTTGGAAATGAATATAGGTGAACTTGGTAAAAGAACAACAAACAGGCAAAGCAGGAATTGTGAGCTTCAAGCAGAGGGAAAAGTATGTGAAAAGGTCCTTTGGAAGAAAGAACCATAGTATATTCAGAGAACAAATAGGCCACTCTGTTTAAAACAGAGAAGCAGAAGAGGGTGGTTTAGTCATGGAAGACACAGTTTGAAAGGTCAGCAGTTGACAAATGCTGTCTGGCCTTGTGGCTATGTTAAGGAGTGATTGTAGGAGGGCCAGTTAGATGGCTATTATATGCCCAAGTAAGACATAATGGCAGCTTGTTCTACTTTGGTGTCAGAGAGAAAGTGACATAATTAGGATTAAAAGTATGACTAATTGAATATCAGAAGTAAAACTAAAGGTGTCAAAAATGAATACTCACTTCCTGATGTGCAACTGGATAGGAGATTTTATCGTCCACTGAGATAGTAAACAATGCAAGAAGAGCAGGTTTAATACAGAAGATCATTAGCTCCAGCTTGAGTGTACAGGGTTTAAGATATTTCAGACTTTTCAATCGAATATATGGATGTAAAGGTCAGAGGAGAGGTCTGGATGGGAAATATAAATTTTTAAGAGATGTCAGTGTGCAGATGGTAACTGAAACCACGGGCATAGATAAGAGTATACAGTAGAAAGAATTGTCTGGGACTGAGTCTTGAGGAGCTAACATTTAATGACTTGTAATGGAAGTTGAAACTGTAAATGAATCTGACAGGGAGTAACCGGAGAAGTAGGAAACAAACAAAAGGAATGGAATATCAGGGAAGGCAATGGGAAGGTTTATCAAATGCTCTAATAGTCCACAGAACTTTCCACATCATTCCATGACCTGAAGACTTCATTGTAATGTGATAGAATGAGAGTCCAGATTGAAAAAAAAAAACTGAGATAATAAGTTTAGACAGCTCTTTGAAGAAGTTTTAATGTGAAGGTGTAAAAAGAAGTAAGGTGGTAACTAGAGGGAGGTGAGGAACCAAGAGAAAAAAATGTAAGATGAAAGAGATTTCAGCATATTTGATTGTTGATTGGAATTATTAATTGAGTAGAAGGTGTTAATAAATAGAAAAATAAAGAAAACATTGAGAACATAAAGAAGTCTCTCAAAAGTTTGTAGCAATAAGAAACAATATATAAGAAAGAAGATTCTTGCCAGAGGGCAGAGAAAATGGAGATAGACACAGAGATTGAGGCTTCTGATTTCTGCTCTTCGTGCACGTCCTTCGATCTGTGATTGCCTTTGCTTTATCTCCATCTACCCAAGTGTTGATGCCACCCTCTCTCTCTGTCTCATGTGTTCACTCTTACTCCCCTATCATTAAGTGGGCAAAATTTAGAATTAAAAAGGTCTTTTGTATAGCTCTTTCCAAATATCCTAATTCTCACTAACAGGACTCTTGCTATATAAATTCAGAATAGATTTCTCTCCAAAAAGCATATGAATTAGGCTCCTTTTTAAGAATACAAATGTTGATGGAGTTTCTTCTATATTTAAGAGGTTCTTGAGAACAATAATACAGCATGATTGATAAGAACTTATTTTCAAAACTTAATGGGATGGGCCATAAGGTAAACAGGTAAAGGATGGCTTTATTTTTTCATTTTTTTTTAGCTACTATTTTTTAATTTTGTTATTAGCCAGTATTTCCTCCTACTAAATCCACATTATATCTGTAGTATAGAAGACAGAAGTAGAACAAACTTGAATAAGCCACTTGTAGTGATTGAGGTCAATTCAGTATCAAGATAGAAGTTCTTCTTAAATGAAATGGAGCAGAGATCACAGTTCTGCAGATACATTGTAATTCATACTCATGCACAGTTTGTCTTTCATTTCAACGAATTTTGAAAGGGATCACATAGAGAGAGCTATTGGTTTTCACAAGGGTTATTCTCTTTTGGGGAAGTTCAGAAAAATTGTCTTACTATATATATAGTTTTTAAAGTTTCTGAGGTTTAAAATTTTCTGGACCTTTAGTGTCTGTTTTACACAAGAGCTGACTCTTTACCCGGTATTTTGTTCTCTAAAAAATCCTTATGTCCTTTCCTCTAGGTGATTTACTGTGTTATCTACATATTTTAAAACCACACACCCTGATCTACCTTCCTTAGATTCCACCATCCCACACACCTAACAACATTTCCTCAAAGATTTATCCAGAGGTGTAAAGTTATCCATGTCTATTGAAGGCACACTCTAAGATCCAATTATTTACTTTGGTTAGCACACTCTTAGGGTAGCCAAAGTGGGCTGATGGCCAAGAATTGCAATACGGCCAGAACCATACATCCCATTAGCGATTTTTTGTTAATAATAGCATGTCAGTGTAAACAAATGCATAGTTTAGGATCAACTAGACAGAAGCTGGAAAAATTTCCAATAGTTGAGCAGCAAGAACTCTTGTTAGTACTTATTATTATAAAACCCAAATATACATGAGGAAAAATCATTGTGGGCACTTTTATCACATTACCTTTGTAAATATTTAGTCCAGAAAACAAAATAAATACTGCTGTTGAGTTTTGTAAATGGATTTATTTTTACCTCCCATTGACCTTTTAATTTCTAGGAGATAAAAACCTCATACATATACACATGGATATATATGTATATCAGTGAAGATTACTTTTTATTCATTTGAATTAGCTCATTCCCCACAGTCATTTGATAAATAAAGTAGATACAAAATTTATTATAATGCAAAATCTTCACTTAATCTCAAAGAATGGGAAGTAAGAAGGATTTTGATAGAACTGATTTTGGTTATATCAAATGAAGATGTTTATTAGTAAGTAATTTATAGAAAAATAATAAAGGAACAAAGCACAACTTCTTTTATAATACCTATATTTAATTTGTCAAAGGCCTCTCAGACCACTCTACTTAACATCAGATTCCAGTTTTTTGCCATTTCCCCATATATTTTCTGTGCTTGAACTTGCTGCCTAGCTGGTATTAACCTCTAACTTTATATAAAGAATGAGCAGGAGACAACCTAAGCGCATGTAAGAAGAAAGAATATCCATAATGTATTAACAGCGATAATTTTGAGAACAACTCAAAAT